CAGGTATGGAGGACGAGGGCACGTCCGAAACCACAACGGCGACTTCAAAAATTTGGACCCCCATCACGGTAGGTTGCTGATCAACGACAGTGGCAGGAATCTCCGTCTACGGGGCAGATATGACGGCTGGCTCCGCCTATACGGGTGGAGTGGTATCCACCCCTGCCCTAGATCCTGTCAAGGGAGAGTCGTCCAAATGTATTATAGTTGGAGGGGTTGTCTCGAATACCACTCGCCGCCTGTTGGACGACCCTTTTTCTTCCTCAACACGGGGAGATTCACCCATCAAACAAGCGACACTAGTCAGAACCTCAGTCTAAGAAGTGGCCTCCGCAGGAATAACCACAACCACAGACTCAACTGAAGCAGCCCTCGACGAAGGCCGAGAGGTAGGTGTTGTAGCTTGGCGAGCATACGATGCAGGCTGACGAAAAGATAATGGAGGAGCCCTCGCTCTCCGCACTCTCCCTGGTATCGACAAACAACACATAAGAAACTAAGTAAAAGAGAGAAAAATAGCAAACAGAAATGACATCTCGCCTGTAAGGGGCCTGTGTCCAAATTTTTCATAAAAGGCCAACCATGTGCGAACCTCCGCCGTATGGGGAAGGATGACACTCACCCACTCGCGGATACCTTCGACAGATGAATGGGCAGTTTCTCAGCTACAGAGGTATAATAAGGTTTAGTACTGTAACAGGCGGTCGGGCATCTCTCCGACTAAAAACATAAGAGACTTACGTGCAAAGTTCCACTTCTCAGGGAACCCTGTTGGATCCGCCACAATGTGCTCGGTCCGCACATAGAAATAATTCTGGTGGAAACAACGGTTAGCCCTGTCGTCCATTTTCACCACCAGACTCTTTGACCCCTGAGGGCGTATGTGAATCATCGTGCCGCGAATGAGTTGAGAGGCAAAGATATTGAGCATGTAGATCCAAAGTGATCTAACGACCGACGAGTTTCGCGAACTTGAGCAACATAAGGAATAATTTATACAGGTACAACGAAAGTTGGGCGGGGCATACCTCATAAAAACGACAGAAATCTACCACCAGGAGAGGGAGAGGAAGTGCGTATCCAATAAGAAAGGCGTAGGCGTAGAACACGCAGTACCCGAGGCGGTCAAAATAGACTCTGTCGTTCCATACCGCCGGCCGCATATCAACATAACTGGGGATTCCCAACCTAGCTTTCAACTCTGCAATGTCTTCCTCTTTTATGACAGAGGGGACAGGTTCTGGCTATACCCCGGCACGACTGCAGAAGTCAGTCCATTCTCTTCTAGGACGAGGCAAGATCTCGACTACCAACGTGACCTCCTCATCTTCCACCACTTCTACTCCTGCGGTGTTCGGAGCAATATTTTTCGGCGCCGGAATTGTGACAGGGAGATCAGCGCGAGAAGAATCACCAGTCATAGTGTCAATTTGGTGTAGTAACAGGACAATGGAAAGGAAGGATAAAAGTTTTCAGTCAACTGGGGGCGAGTGAAAATTTGGAGTATCAGGAAGAAAGTATATTCGCGAAATTCTTTCAAGCAAAGGGCAAGGAAGTGTGCCAATCGAATGGTGTGTTCTTTCTATTTATAAGAGACATAAATCCCCCCAAACACGAAACCCAAGAGTCGCCAATCGAATCTGATAGGACACGAAACGTTTTGATTCCCTAGGAACGTGTGTCATAATGGCGACAACAACGAAACAACTTTTCAATCCAAACGGCGTTTCAGTTCCGAAACTACTGCAACGGTCGAAGGATATTGAAAGAGCTCCGTCACCTCACTTAAAACTTAAGGAGCATAACCAAGGGATAAGTAGTCAGATTTGTAGCAGTCATGATCCGTCTGCCTGTATTGGTCAAAATCTATTGATCAAAATCTATAGTGGACGACCCCGACAGATGGAGGGACTAACTGTATTGGTCAAAATCTGATCGCTACGGTCAAGCTGACCAACATCCCGTCCAAGCGACAAGGCAGCGAAAGACGACATGGTCTATTCTACATCCCGCACTCACGATACCCGCCGAGTCAGAAGAAACAACGTTTAGGGGACGACCAAGACGGACATAGTGTGAGAGAACGCCAGACCACGTACATAACAAAGGTCCCATAATTATATGTAGGGGGAAAACCTTCGGTAAGGGGGGCAACAGTCTTTCACTTCTTCCTCTATCCCTCTCCTCTCATGTAATCTTCGTAATGAGAAGAAGAATGGAGCATTCTCCAAGAAAATATATAAAATAGTCTCATCCATTGATTAATGGGATCCATAACGGAAAGTTTCAATAAGATTGGTTAACTCTATCTCATCTTATGTATTATTTTTTCAATTAATCTATTGATCTGGAGTTTATTATGGTTGACTAAGATTTACCCCTTCATTTTTTTTGATTGATTTATTCAAAAAGGGTCCAATATCTTTTGAGTCAAACAGTCACGAACTAGAGAAATAAAAACCAAATCTTATGAAACTATAACTAATAATCTCACATCCTAAATAGAAAAAAACATATTAAATTTCTGAGTAATGTTTTCGAGTGTATATTATTTATCTCCTCTTTGATCCTTTTTTTCCGTTTAAATTTGGAAACGTTTAGTCTTTTTAAACATAATATTTATTTCACACTAAAAATGCTAATAAATAAATATTTAAAGAAAACAAAATGATCAACTTATGATAAAAGCAAGGGGTTTATCACAATTAGGTGTCGGTAATGAAGCTTTGCCAAATGGCCAAATTTAAGCTGTCATAATATTAATTAGGTTCGAATGTCGTTGAAAGTGTCGTCATTATCTTTGATTCTTCCTTAGGTAGATCACTTGTTTATTTATTATTCTTAAGATTTGAAATTATTTCATTCATGTACATTACTTTTAATTCAAAAGAAAAAAAGGAAAAAAAATCCAGTCAGTTAATTATCAACAGGAAGAAGAAACCGGTTCGGTTCTTATGGCAAATTAAAGTTGTTCTAGAAAAATGGGCCGCAATCTCTTTTAAAGGGATTTTTGGGCAACAGAATCGTCTTCCACTACTAGTAATGGCAGAATCTTAATTAACATGAAATGAAAAGGTCATTTTAGTCAATTGGTTTGGACCTTTTGCATTACCTAGGCGATGCCATCATGAAACAATGAACCAGATGATGAACTAGATTCTCCTGTTGGGTAAGAAGAATTGATGGCATCCCTAACTAAATATTCTGATCCCTAAAACTAGAGGGCATATCCCTCATTTTAACTTTTTATTTTATTTTCTCATTCCGTATTCTGTATTTATTTTGAAGCGCCGATTAATTCAAATTTACACGGCATAAGACCATTTTCTATCAATTTTATTTTTCATTTTCAGGACCGATTAAAACCGCTTTTATCCCTTCATTCTCCATGGTTTGTCATAACAATTTTATTCAGTCATTGTTGTTGACATGTCGTACGTTATATCCATTTTATACTACTCTACTATTTTACCATTATACAGCCTACCATTATAGGGTCACTGCTTTATCTGAACGAGGCGCATCAAACTAATGAGAAAATAGGCTCATAATTCTGGTATATTTTCTCTCGCTTGTGACTTTGGGAAATGAAAAAGGAAGAGAAAAGGTAAAATCCCAAGGGGTTTTCCTGTGTACATTTGAACATCACGATGTTCTACATACTGTATGGACTGCTTTTTCTTTTTCGTTTGCGAGGAAGTAATGCTACAAACAACACATTGACCGCGTGAAATTATTATATTTCTAATATAGTTTCTGTATTATTACTAAATGAAAGCAATGCGACAGTTAGTATCGAAAGGGAGTAGACTGCACTAGTTATTTTTTATCAAGTTTCTGCAATTATTTTTGGAATTAAGAAAGGTGTAATACTAGAGAAGACAATATTTGGGTTAGAAAATCAGGCTCACATTTCCTTGAATAATATTGTTTTGACCATATATGATTCTTTATATATCAAGTTTGGGAATTTTAGCTTAGGAAAAAAAAAAAACTGATTTGATTAGACAATTTAGGTTAAAACAAGATTTGGTTTCGAAAGTGCATATCATTGAATAAGGCAATACCAACAACCAACAGCTGCTTGCCTTGGTTTTTCTGATCTGGAAATATACACAAGGATCCCTGGTGTAGATTTAGAAGTACAAGGCCGAGATTTGTTCAAAAAATGAGGGGGGGGGGAGTTTTCTACTATGGGAAAAAAAGACATCCTGACGTATTAAGCTTCTGCTATGTGTGGGATCCGAAGAAGAGTTGATGTATTAAGCTTCTGTTATGTGTGGGGTCCGGATAAGGATCGAATCACAAGAGTATGTCTTACGCAACCTTACCTTATATTTTTACAAGAGACTGTTTTCACGATTCAAATCCGTAACATCCTGCTCACATGACATTAACTTTACCAATTATGTCGGGTATACTTTTTTACAATGGGATGTCATTTCCAATTCCCAATATAAAATATACTCTAAGAAGCTTGTGTAGGATAATTTCAAATTGGATTTAAGTTTTAATCTATTACTATTATCGATTTTTTACTAACTAATACTTATTAAATGATCCAATTATATAAATGTTTTTTTAATACTATTAGTCCATACAGATTAAACTCTTTCTAATTTCTATAACCTTTTCTTCAGCATTAAATGTATCAACTGCGATCCGGCTTTTAAAAATTTTACTACTTTGAGATAAATTTTTGTACTTCTGTAAAGAAGTTCTTATGAAAACAACAAATTTCATTAATGAAAATAAATCAAATTAGTTGGACAGATGAAGCATTTAAGTTCACTAGGGAGTAGTGTGTGGAAAGTGTAATTGACATTTTTGTTCAATTGACCAAAACTGAAAGCAAACCTCCCCCCAACCCCACCCACCCCCACAGTTCACATTTCCTTGGGGCACCGTGTCCAATTCTCTTTCTTCATTTTTTCCCTTCTCTCTCTACTTTATTATTATAGTAGTGTAGTATTTTATTAATTTTAATAATATTTCTTTTCCATTTTTTCCCCTTACATCTTAGTTTCTCTCTCTCTCTTTCTTGTGATTCCCTCAAAACTCCTGTTTGTATTCATTCTTTTTCTCAGTTCTTACATTACTCTTTCCCAAACAGCAAAGCAAAGCCAATCGTGCCTCCCTCTCTCTATCCTCTTTCCCTCTATACTCTAGAGAGAGAAAAAAAATCAAAAATAATATACATATTCACTGACGGATATTGCAAAGAGGAAGAAATAGACGTCGCTGGAGATGCTCCGGCAAATCCATTTCCGGCAATAGTTCAAACCGAGTTGCAGTATTACAACACCATTTTTGACATTATTGAGGAAAAAGGTGAAATGCCTGAAACTTTGATATTATCGAAAATTACTAAGGAAGTGGATGAGGAGGAAAAAGAGAAGATGCTAGAAACCACTACAGCGACAACACCGAGGTCAGTTATCATCATTCCTCGGAGCAAATCCCAAGCAGCATCCCGGAGAGTCATTCCTACGGATAGTACAATCACAACAGCATTCGGTACAACCAGTACTAGCACTACTACAACCTCAAACGCAGTAGAAAAGCACCTTCCTAACGGGGATCTGTACATAGGTAACTTCTCCGGCAGTTCACCTCATGGATCCGGCAAGTATTTGTGGAAAGATGGGTGTATGTACGAAGGGGAGTGGAAAAGAGGCAAAGCATCCGGAAAAGGAAAGTTCTCGTGGCCATCTGGAGCTACATTCGAAGGCGAATTCAAGTCGGGTCGGATGGAGGGTTCCGGTACTTTTATCGGATCCGATGGGGATATGTATAAAGGTTCATGGTCCGCGGATCGAAAACATGGCTACGGGCAAAAACACTACAGTAATGGGGATTATTATGAAGGGCACTGGAAGAGGAATTTACAAGATGGACAAGGGAGATATGTTTGGAAAAATGGTAATGAGTATGTTGGTGAATGGAAAAATGGGGATATTCATGGTAGAGGTGTTTTAATTTGGGCAAATGGGAATAGGTATGATGGGAATTGGGAAAGTGGTGTTCCTAAAGGTCATGGGGTTTTCACTTGGCCTGATGGGAGTTGCTATATTGGGTGTTGGACCAAGAATCAGCAACAGCATAGCCAAATTCTTAATGGTACTTTTTATCCAGCTAACAACAATAAAACGAGTTCTAATAATAGTACTGATTTCAGTGTTAAAGAGGATGCTTTTTTGGGGGGATTTTTTGGGCACAAGTTAGCAGCACCTTTAATGGAAAATGATGATTGTGGTGGTGGGGTTGTAGTGATGAATATGGGGAAGAAAAGGTCATCAGTAGATGGAGCAAGGGGAAGCATGACAGAAAGAAATTTTCCAAGGATTTGCATTTGGGAATCTGATGGTGAAGCTGGTGACATTACTTGTGATATTATTGATAATGTAGAGGCCTCCATGATTTACAGAGATCGCTTTGGGTTCGATCGAGATGGACTTAAGCAGTTTAGGAGAAATCCTTGTTGCTTTAGCAGAGAAGAAAAGAAGCCAGGACAGACTATATCCAAAGGGCATAAGAATTATGATTTGATGCTCAATCTCCAGTTGGGCATTAGGTAATATTAATTCGAATGAAGTTGTGGATTGCCAGTATATTGTATGTTGTTCTATTTCAGTTTGTTTTTTTCTTGATTACAAAATTGTTGCATAGCTGAATCCATGGTGGTTTTTACAGGTATTCAGTTGGGAAGCATGCTTCGATATTGCGGGATCTTAAAACTAGTGATTTTGATCCTAATGAGAAGTTCTGGACTAGGTTTGCTCCGGAAGGGTCCAAGATTACACCCCCTCATCAATCTACTGATTTCCGCTGGAAGGATTATTGCCCGGTGGTGTTTAGGTATTCATTTCTTGAAATATGTAAATTATAAGTTGTAGTTTGATATTGTATAACTTTGATCTTTGTTAAAAAACCATGAAAGACTCTAAAGTGGTTGGTTGGTGGTTGGATTATACAGACATTTGAGGGAACTATTCCAAGTGGATCCTGCAGATTACATGTTAGCAATATGTGGAAATGATGCCCTAAGAGAGCTTTCTTCTCCGGGGAAGAGTGGAAGCTTCTTTTATTTGACTCAGGACGATAGGTTTATGATCAAAACAGTGAAAAAATCAGAAGTCAAGGTTAGTTGCCTACCTCTTTGACTTGCACTTGAATTGATAAATTTCGTGAAACAGGTCGTCATACTGTGATTGGTTATCTGTATATTTCATTCTAATTTCTAATTGTTTTTGGCATAGGTATATGAGATATTTGTCTCTGTTAAACAATGATGATGACATGCTCAGTTTTCTAATGGGTTTGAATTTTGCAATCTTTATTCAGGTGCTTATTAAGATGCTTCCAAGTTACTATCAACATGTTTGTCGTTATGAAAATACACTTGTCACAAAATTCTATGGTGTCCATTGCGTCAAACCAGTTGGTGGTGTCAAGGTATGTCTGTCAGAATTGAAATTAACTTGGACTCTTTGTTCATGTCTGATATTGTATACTTTGATTGGGTGCAGACACGGTTCATTGTAATGGGCAACATGTTCTGCTCAGAATATCGTATTCACAGACGCTTTGACCTGAAAGGTTCCTCGCATGGACGCACAACAGATAAACCAGAAGGAGAAATTGATGAAACCACTACCCTTAAGGACCTTGATCTGAACTATGTGTTTCGTCTCCAGCGGAACTGGTATGAGGACCTGATCAAGTAAGTATGGGAATGCTGTTGTCACAAAGTTTATTCCATCATTCTGTACGTTCATGACTCAATTGGTTTAACTTCGTCACAGACAAATCGATCATGATTGTGAATTTTTGGAAGCTGAGCGAATCATGGACTACAGTCTCTTGGTTGGTCTTCACTTCCGAGATGATAATACGGGTGACAAGATGGGTTTGTCACCATTCCTCTTGCGTACTGGTAGGTTACACATTTGTAAGAGATTTATTCTAAAGCTGGTATAATAATGTGGAGTCCAGAACAACAATAAGAGGAATCTCTGCTTGCTTTTCAGGAAAGACTGATTCATACCAAAATGAGAAGTTCATGCGTGGTTGTCGTTTCCTCGAAGCTGAGCTACAAGACATGGATAGAGTTCTTGCTGGCCGGTAAGCATAGTCCTTCTGGCTGCTGTTAATTAGCTATTGGCCTGGAATTTACTTTTGTTCTATGGCATTACTTGAAGAAATCTCAATATGATGGAGATACTTTATGTTTTTTTTTCTGATTCGCAAATCCTTGGTGACTTCCACATTTTTCTTTTTGAGGCTTACAATAAATATAAAACTAAAAAGATTGCAGAGAAGTAGCACTTTAAGACCTTCCTACCAGACACCTTGAAGGAAAATGGTAATCCATTGCTCTATTAACGTCTGTGCTTGTATTTGTATGCCATTAGGGGCTATATTGACGCTAGTTCTTCTGTCACTAAGTAGTCTTTGGATTGTGATGATTCTCCATGAATTTGAGATTGGTAGTTGGAATTAGTGAGAGTTTGCTTGGTTTGTTGCTGCAACATTTTGGAGGGAGTTTAGTAGATAACATTTGTGATGGGAACAACTGGACCAAGGTGTTGTTATTTAAGCCCTGGATAAGAAGCACGTCTTACTATATTATATTGCTCTTCAACTGCTATAACTGCCCCCAAGTTGTAAACTTAAAATACTACAGTATTTTTCGGGCAGAATTGAAACTCGCTACTGACTTTAATGTGGAAAGCAATTTCTTGAGAACCACTTGTGATACCACAACATAAGATTTTCAGCCATGACAACACTGTTTTCTGATAGAGTAAAAAGCTTGCTAATTTACATTGCTTTGTCCCTGTTGCCCTAATACTTGTGGGTGCTTAAGATTGTTTTTTTTTCTCAAACCATTCCTGATTTTGAAGTTACTTGTATCTTTACAGGAAGCCCTTAATTAAGTTGGGTGCTAACATGCCTGCAAGAGCAGAGCGGGTGGCACGAAGGAGTGATTTTGATCAGTATACTCCTGGTGGGTTCTGTAATATGCCTCCTTCACGTGGGGAAGTCTACGAAGTAGTCCTATACTTCGGAATCATTGACATCCTGCAGGATTATGATATTAGCAAGAAGCTCGAGCATGCTTACAAATCCTTGCAAGCTGACCCAACCTCAATCTCAGCTGTAGATCCAAAACTCTACTCGAAGAGGTTTCGGAATTTCATAGGCAGAATTTTTGTCGAAGACAGGTGATAGATAGGGCAAGAGAATGAAAAAATCAACAGCTAACAAAAAGTCTGTTAAATTATAAAGATTCTTCAATGAATCTGGAATCCCAAGTGGTGTAAAGCACATTGCTTGGAATGGTTGGGCGGCAGCTGCTCCCGGTGGTCATAATCGAAAAAAATATTGGCTCCGGCAGTCATGGTCGAAGACATTTTTTGGCTTGGATATACTATTCATGCGCGGTGCTTGGTGGGGTTAGTGGCTGAATTTTATGGATCAGCCACTGGTTGAGTGTAAGTTCTTTGTACATTCCATGGGGGTGGTAAGAAGATAATATGAGTTATTTTTTGTTTTAGTTTTAGGGAAAATTTTCTTCTCTTTTGGGTGACCAAGGAATGTGAAGATTTGAAAGATAAGCATAGGGAACTGAGCAAGTTTCTCAGTGAGATTCAAAGAAGATTGGAGTGGGGGAGGAAAGGACTTTTAAATAATCAAAAGTGTACAGCATATAGGATGAGGAGGTTGAATAGATTATGAAAAAATATATGTATTTGTGTGAATGTCTAAATTCTTATTATTTATGATGTTTATAGTAAAGTGACTGCACGGAAGAAGTATGTCTCTGTCATCTCTGCTGCTGGGGTCGGCGGGGGGGTGGTGTCATATTGGTTGCTTTTCTTTTGATAGCAGTGAAAGAAAGAAAGAGGCATTGCATTGGGGACAGAGGAAGAGAGTTTTTGTATACTGAGAGTAACATGAAAAGGGGAGAAAGCAGAGACTAAAGATGCGCTGGCTGGTCCTCTCACTTTTGTTTTACTGCCCTTTTACTGTGTTGGAGTTGGCGTGGGTTTGTTGAATTTGTCCCTCTTTTGCTCATAGAGTGAGTTTACGATAAATGGGGTTGTCCTTTCTGCACCATTTGTTTGGTCGTGTCATAACCGGAAAAGAATTTGTATGTGTTGTAGTCCTTGTCATTTATGATTATATAGAGTAAAAATGAAAGTGAAATATATATATATTTTAATTTGGCCGGGTTATTAATGAAGTGTGTTCACGTTTATATCTTAGAGGAAATAACTAGTTCAGTAGTGAGTCTTCGGTAAAATAATTGAGGTGTTCTTAAGTTTAAGAAAAAATAAATAAATAGAAAAGTGGGTTGTTTTTCTCTTTTTTTGAAGACTGGAGCAGTCGTTAAAGCATACTGCTGGTATGCCAGAGAGATTTGACTCATATTGTGGTCTCAAGCTTAAAAACCCACAATCAAAACATCAATAAAATTACAGTTACTGTAATTCCAAAGAGGTTTTGAGGGCTACTTTGTTAATTCAAATTCCTTTGGCCTTTGCTGGGAATTTGTGTAGGGTTATTTTAACTGTAGGAGTCAAAGTCAGTGGGCTGTCGACGAGGTGAACAGGGCCCCATTTTCTTCTTTTTACTGTGGTTTCTTCCTTTTGACCTAGTTCTTTTTTATACTTACTTTAATAGTAGTAGGATTTTGCTGTGTCTGTTAGCTCAGATCGTAAGCATGGGTCTGTGTCACTCTGTACGGGATTCTGTTATCAACCCATCATAGTAATATTTTACACTGAAGGGTGTCCTTTAGTTAATTTACTAGATATTAGTTTACTGAGTTGTTATTATTATAATTTCTTTTTATAATTATAAAATTGACTTTATTAGGGAGCATTTTACTTTGGATTCTGATACGGTATCGAATGCCGAATGGGAAATTGAACAAATTATTTATAAGTTTGAAACTTAGAATACAATGCTATAACCGATCAAAAAAATTATATACTACTAGAAAAGAGTTGTTTTTATTTTTAAATAGAAGTTACGTCATAAAATAGATTTGAGATAGTAATAATATACAAAAAGTGCTTATACCAAAAAGCAAGAAGATATTAGACTTAGGAGAGCCTCAAATTGTTGATGATACTTTTGTTGTCATTATCAACAGTTAGTATATTTGTGTTAGTATATTTGTGGCCCGATCAGTTAAATATAATGAAATGAGGCTCCACTTGGTAATCCTAAGAAGGCAAGTCACACATATGACACCACCAGTTTTCAATCTCCCCAACTCTAAAAGGCATTACCTCGGGCAATGCATGCTTTGCTGTCTAATAAAACGGAAATTATCCGAATTAATAATCATGATAAGAACACAAACTTCAAATGTATATTAGGAGTGTCAAATTTAGTCAATGAAAATATAGCATATTTAATCTGATTAAATTTAGGTGTGTTAGGTTGTGCATATATTCATTGGCAGACAGCGGTGGAGCTAAGTGAAGGAAGGGGATTCAACTGCAAAATTAGATGGTACAACAACAACCCAATAAAATCTCCTAAGTGGAGTCTGGGAAGGGTAGTGTGTACGCAGACTTACTCCTACCCGAGGGGATAGAGAGGTTGTTTCCGAAAGACTCTCGGCTCAAGATGACGAAAGAAACACTATATCAGTACCATCAACAGAAAATCAAGAAATAATGACACCATCATAAGAACCAAAAAATAAATAAAAAGCAATAATAATAACTAGTAAATAAAGTCCGGCACAACGAAAACGGAGAATAGTAAAACCCTATCAGACTAATCTCACATCGATATGAAGTAGAAATAAAAAAATGCCCAACTACCTCCTAACCTACAACCCTAATGCGCGACCTATACACCTTCCTATCAAGGACCATGTCCTCGGAAATATGAAGCCACACCACGTCCTTTCTGGTCACCTCTCCCAAATACTTCTTAGGCCGCCTTCTACCTTTTCTTGTACTCGCCAAAACCAACCTCTCACACCACCTTACCGGGGCATTCGGGATTCTTCTCTGTACGTGCCCGAACCATCTAAACCTCGCTTATCGCATCTTGGCATCCATAGGCACACCCACATTCTCTCGAATATCTTCATTCCGAATCTTATCCATCCTAGTGTGCCCACACATCCACCTCAACATCCTTATTTCTGCTACTTTCATCTTCCGGGTATGTGAGTTCTTAACTGGCCAACACTCAGCCCCGTACAATATGATCGGTCTAACCACCGCTTTATAATATTTACCTTTGAGTATATATGTCACTTTCCTGTCACATAGGACTGCAGATGCTAATCTCCATTTCATCAACTCCACCCCTATACAGTGTGTGACATCCTCGTCGATCTCCCCACCCCCCTAGATAATCGACCAAAGGTACTTGAAACTGTCTCTCTTAGGGATGACATGTGATTCAAGCCTCACTTCCATGCCTGCTTCCCATGACTTCGCGCTGAACTTACACTCCAGGTATTCCGTCTTAGTCCTGCTCAACTTGAAACCCTTAGACTCAAGGGCCTGTCTCCAAACCTCCAGCCTCTCTTTGACGCCGCCTCACGTCTCATCTATCGGCACTATGTCATTAGCGAATAACATATACCAAAGCACCCCCATTGAATATGGGCATTTCAGTGCGTCCATCACTAAGGCAAATAAGAACGACTGAGCACCGATCCTTGGTGTAACCCCATAACAACCGGAAAATGCTCTGAGTCATCCCTCAATGTCCAAATTTGAGTCTCAGCTCCATCACACATGTCCTTAATCGCCTTTATATAAGCAACCGACACACCTTTAGCCTCCATGCATCTCCAAAGGATCTCTCTAGGGACCTTGTTATACACTTTCTCCAGGTTAATAAACACTATGTGTTAGAAACTGAGCGTCTACTAGACTGTATAGAGAACCGAGTTCTCTATGAGTTTCTACTGAAAATACTGAGGAACCAAACTGTATAGCGATCTGGTCCTATATCAGTTTGGTACAGTGCTAACTGCGGAACCAGTATGTAGATGAGACACATGATAAGTTCCCATTGTATAAAGAACCAGATTCTCTAGCAGTTCTTACTGTAAGAAACAGACTGTGCAACCAATAAGTACAGGGAATCAGGTTCTCTAATTGTTACCATAGTAGCTCGGCAGTAAGTAAAGAACACAAAGGATTTTTACGTAGAAAAATTCCAACTCAAGGGGACAAAAACCACGACCTACACTTGTAGGCTTTCAACTTCACTAAATTATAAAAACCTATTACAAGCCACTTTGTAATGACTCAATTACAAAGAATTTAACCCAACTAACTTGTGGTACTCTTACCACAAGCCACTTTGTGACTCCCTAGTTACAAATGATTTTATTAACTTGTGATGATCTCACCACAAGCCACTTTGTCACTCTACAGTTACAAAGACTTTTGACACTCTAACTTGTAATAACCCTATTACAAGCCACTTTGTAATAACTCTATTACAAAGGCTTTACAACTCGACTAGCTCTAGCCAAGACATAAACTTGGAGTGTTTGTGATTTTGTGTTTCCTAAAACACCTTCTAAGAAAGCAAGATAGGAGTTACAATTGAAGAAAATAACAAAGACTCAACAAACCAAAGGACTTAAGACATCTTCAATCTTGGATCCGGTCCTTGAAGTTGAAGCAGCTTTGTTCTTGAGAGAGATTGTTGCAAGCACTTGAGAGAGGATTTTTGTTTTCTGTATTTGCAAGTGTTGAACCTGAATCTTGTGCCTTGCATGAGGTTTATACTACACAAGACATTACCTTAGTGATGTCAATTCACAATGGTGATGTCCAATCTCAATGGAAAGTGACTGCTGCACTGTTGTAGGCAGTCACTTTCTACAGTTGCTTTCCAACTGTACAATTGACTTATACTTCTGTCAGGGGAACACCAAGGTATCAGGTCCCTAATCTGGTTTCTGTGAATCTAAAGCACACTGCCCAGATTATCTTGAGTCAATTAACTTGAATGATTGTACCAGACATGCTTCAGGTCCTTTATCTGGTTCTCTCATGAAGTAAGTCATTTTACCTTAATTGATTGTATTTATACGTGTGTGACATTACTTACAATGATGTAAGCAAGATAGGTAAAAAGCTTTCCTCAGAAAGTTGATTGTTGCACTATTCCTGTATAATAGCGTGAGCAGGCAACAACTTTCTTGCTGGAGAGTTGACTTCATACAGTCTCCTTGGGAACTGGTAGGGACTTGTTCCCTAAGTTGTTCCTTCTACTCTTTCTCACTTGAGTTATTGCTATCAGCTTTGAGTACCAGGTTCTTTTCTTTCACTGTCTGTCTTCCTCTTCATCTCATAGGTCTTCAGATTTCCAACCATCTCTTCTATGGTCAGCTCCTGCAGGTCCTTTGATTCAGTAATAGCATTCACCTTGCTTTCCCAAGGGCTGGATCCCAACCTGGAACTTTGTGATCTCAAGGTCTTGTAGATGTATAACAGGTTCCTTATCTGGTTCTGAATGGTAAGTTTGTTAGATCATGAAAACATAAAGTAAAGCATTTTATGCCCAAGGTACTTGTAACCTATCAATTTCCCCCTTTTTGATGACGACAAACTTAGAATTGATATTCCCCCTGAGAACCAGATCTCCATATTGTCCCCCCTATGAATCAGCCATATTCCCTATGAAAACCGAACCTAAGGAGCCGATCACAACTGGTTCCTCAAGATTGTTTGGCAAATCATCAAAACTCAAGGTTCCATAACTTATCAATTTCCCCCTTTTTGCTGATGACAAACCCAGAATTAATATTCCTCTTGAGAACTAGATTCCTAACATGTTTCCTGCGAATCAGACCTATAATCAACATATTATCAACAACGTTTCCCCTGCGAAGCAAAGCTATCTCTTGAGAACCAGAGAACCAGATTCCTCATATGTTTCCCTGCATTATCAGCAACGTTCCCCCTGTGAAGCATATCCATCTTTCATGCACAACATTCTATTCTATTCCTCCCATGTTGACACTTATATAACTCCCCTCTTTTGGCATCATCGAAAAGAATAACAGAAGAAGTACTACCAAAAAGAAGTTTAGCAACATTAACTCAGGCCGCTCGGGCAACACATCATAAACAGTAACAAGAACAACAAGTGAATGTCATGGCACAAAATAGAGTGATTGTCCATAGTGGAGTAATTATAACAAAAGCATAG